AATTATGAACACAATTACAATATTCCCGATCCTGATGACAATAAACTTAGTATTTTATTTGAATATATTTTGAATATATTTTTGAATCTATTTAAATCGAAATTCTACAATTAAATTAAAATTTTAAATATGTAAAACTCATTGAATGGAATTTTCTTTCATATTTCCCAACGGAGTCGCAAGTTCAATTTCAATTGGCGGCGCATCTCAACTGTTTGAACCAATTCAAAAGGTCTTAGGCCCCAGTAGTCAATCTTTCAATTAATTAGGCGTATCTAAGTTGAACTGTTGTCCCCACTCCAGCAATTATGGTTGAAAAATTGAGAAACTCAAGAAACACATAATTCTTATCAGTAAATGGGAACTACACACATTTTGTAATTCTTTTTTTCTACCCTTTCAGTAAAGAAGCCGCTAAAAAATGCAAAGAACCAAAATAAAAGATTTGTTGCTGTGATTGATTGAAGGGCTAAATAAAAGAGCTCATGATTGATTGGCGAGTGGTACAGGAATGGGAACTGGAAGTGGAACTGGAATTGGAATTCTGTTTAGGATTACGTGTGGCCAACTTTCAATTGTAAATGTGAAGTATAAATAATAAGAAAAAAAAGCAACAACAAAGTACAGCGCACAAATTGCGCAAAACGCTAAAGAATGCCACGCCAACAACAAGCCGCAGCTATGGCAATGAGTGCAAGGAGTCCAGCAACAGCAACAACAAAGACAACAAGCGGCCAGCTGCAGCAGCAGCAAAAATAATGAAAACAAAAGCACAGCAAAACATCAAATGGACCAACTTGGCTTTGCCAATTGGAATTTTTTTTATATGTATGAACATTTCATATGCAGTTTGACAAGCGCTGCATGAGTGCATTTGCGGTCGCCTCTTGCTCTCTCTGCATCTCTCACCCTCCCTCTTTTTATCTGTCTGTGCGTCGTTGGCCTTTGGCTGCCCCCGTTAAGCGTAATTTAATTTAGCGCAATTGTCTTTCTCTCTATGGAAATCACAGTTAGCATCCAGCGCAGTGCCTTTGAAACTGCTGTTAATATTAACGGTTGTGTATAGATATATATATGGATACACTTAAACACATGTATATGTATGGAAGTCTGAGTAAAAGAGTTGCCAGATTTGAAAAAGCTAGTTGTAGCAGAAGTTATAACTTAATTCACAATATAGCTAAAATTAAAGTTGCTCGCTGTTCGGCCATAGAAAAGAAGCTAGTTTTTCAGCAGCTAAATTGACAACACTAGCTTGCAAGTGGCCAACTGGCTGGGCCAGGCGAAAATGCCACGCGGAATGCGGTTTAAAAATAAACCAAGCCCCAAAGCAAGCTAGCCACAAAGCAAAGACCAAAACGTGCTTTGGCTAGAGACCCTATTTAGCCTAGTTTACAGTTTACAGCTTACCAGTCGAGCCAGGCTAAATGACCAACTCGCTAGCTGTCGCTGCTGAGCACCTGTAAGTTGGCTGCGCAGTTGCTCTATCTTCCTCTCTCTCGTTCTCTCTCTCTCTTGCCTGCTTGCCTGTTTCGTATGCTAATAAGAAAAGTGTGACAGCGTTCGCAATTTTATGACAGCGACGCACGCAATGTGCGCCCTTCCAATCAAACTGTACAGTTTGACAGCTTCCAACTGGATTCGAATTGGTTACGGTTATGCAACAAGTTTCGAATGTTATGTTTCTCTTTTATTTTATTTCTTTTCTTTTCGTGGTTTATTGAAAGCCATTAAGCGCGACTCAGGTGCGTTGACTGCATAAAAATGTTTTTATGTCTTATATTATGGACCCGTTTATTGAATTTAACTCATTCTGATTGGTAGTTATTAGCTTAACAGTTATAAAAAATCAATGTTAAATATTGTTAAATTCTTTTTTAATTTACCTTTAACAGCTTCGTAGTATCCTAAATCCAGCGTGAATGATTTATTGTTAAATCCTGTATATAGAAAATACTTAATATATTTTCTTTATTTTTTTGTTTTGTTTTGCGGTTTCCGCTCTCTCGCGGCCTCTCCCTCTCTCTTGCTCTCGCTTTATGTTAAAATCCTGTACACCAATTATGTTGCTTTATTATTTTTTTTTTTGTTTTGTTTACGGTTTCCGCTCTCTTTATGCCACGCTCTCTGGGACGCACACACACACTAACAGACGGCGTGATTTTTTGTTTTCTAATTCGTTGCTCCTTTTTGCTTTCTCCTGCGTCCTTCGTTGACTCCTTCTTCTGGTTATAACTGTTGTTGTTGTTGTAGTGTGGTGCTGTGTTTTGAATTAAATTATGATTTATTTGTATTAATATTTTCACAATCTCCCTCTCTCTCTTTCTCTCGCTCGCGCATCTCGCTGTCTTCCGAAACGCGTAAGCCACGAAGATCAATAAACACACGTAACAAAATAAGAAGCAGACGAGCGAGACGCTGCGAGAGCTAAGAAAACCGGAAAGTTGTTGTTGCCCTTGTTGTTGCTGCTGCTGTTGTTTTGCTATGCGCGGCGTTCTTTGGCTGCTGCGTTTTTTCAGTTATGTTGTAGAAAAAGACAAAAAAATATATGAGAATCTCAGCTTGAAGAAATTTATTAACGTGTAAAAATGCCACAAGTAGTTTTATTCTTTCTACTTTTTTCTGTTGTATTTCTTTTTTTATAACATTAATTTATGCTTAGAATTTTTGTGGTTTGTCACTTGTTGCTTTTGTTTTTGACCTTAATGTGATTTAACAAATTCCAATGCACAGACACTCAGACTCACACACACACATACACTTAAACACATACACACAAACAACGATACGCAAAAACCAGCTTCGCGGCTTTTTTTGTTTTTGGGCCAACAATTAGAACGCCGGCGCAGCAGTCAACGCCACAGTTCTTTCTAATTAGCACAAAAACAACAAGAACAGCAACAACAGCAATAAGAGCAACTGACAAAGCAGAGCTAAACAGTTAGACGGCTTTAACAATCGCGTTTGCTTTGCATTCTACGGGTAATTTTGGCATCGCGGTTTACGTTTTATTTGTTGTTATTTTATGTACATAGATATTTATTTTGTTGTTGGCACTTTTAATACGTTGCTTTTACGGTTAAATTTTCGGTAGCGTTGCGCGCTCGTTTCACGCACGTCTTGTCAACCCTCGATCTCGCTTTACAATGTTGCGCCCGATGTTTAAGTTGAGCATCGAAGCAACTAAGCATCGAGCTATCGATTATTGGTAGTAACGAAAACTACTCGATTGTACTGTTGGCGATATCTTTCCACTAATCGATCGCAGCAGTCGCACATTTAAACGATTCTTTAAAACTGTTAAATAAAACAAAATTTAAACATTATTATAAAAAGCGATAAAAACAATAATTAAAATATTTAAAGAAAAAACAAAATATAATTATTACTAAATCAGATATACCAAACGAAATTTATTAACTTTAGTTTTGATATTTTAAACAATTAATATGTAAAAATTAGACTTGTCTTAGATTAAGTCTAAGTCTGCATACATTATATTATTATAAAATACAAAACCCAAATAAATTAAATTAAAGTTGACATTGTAAGTACAAATCAAATTGATTTTTATATATATAATTTATAACGTATATATAATTTGTAACGTAAGCGCAAAAAGAGACCAGAACGCATAGTTGCTCACATCCAACTTTATGCTACGCACAGCTGACTGGCGTGATGTTGGCGGCAAAATTAGTTTGGTATTCTATGGCATTTTAGTATTCTTAAGATACTTTAGCATAACAGCTAGTTAACATGAAACATTTTAATATTTTTAAAATGCTGCCACACTAACCAACTTTATCGGCATTTCTAATGATTCAAACAAGCTTAACAAAGTAATTTGTGTTTTGCAGTATTATTCTCTTAATTTAAATATTACAAATATATATATGGAATGCCAAAGACACTGAAAAAGTTAGAAAAAATTTAATAATACTTTTCAATACTACGAACAGAAGTAACGAATATGTTAATTAGAAATACTATCTTATGTTAGTTAACAGTACAACATATCGATATATCGATTGGAAGGCGACTCGTTATGTCTAGAGTAACAGACCCATAACAGCTGGGCAGTAACATTTCTGTTGTTGTTGCGTCGGAGTTCGGACGTGCTAGTCCGTGTCGTTCGCGAGTAGATTTATTTAATATTTTCCATCGACTTGTACAAACCGGAACTTGCAGAAAATTAGGCAAGTCTGTTGTAAATTGTGCTTGATATGCAAAAACAATAAGCATTTACTGCTGTGCGCGTTAAGTATGTAAAGAATACCGCAAAAATTTGTGTGTCCCAAACGAAAAGCCAAAGAAAGAGAAAAAAGCGAGTGGCAGATTTTTTTCCTGTCTACCTACACAAACATACGTATACACATATACTTCGGTATATTGAATGCGTGTGCATTTGTGTGTGTGTGTATAATGAAGAGCGCAAAGTGTGCGTGCGTGCGTTTGTGTGTGTAATAATCGCTGAAGAATAAGAATATTAAATTTCCCGTTTCGTAAATATATTAATTGCATTCAAAAAGTAAAAATTAAATCTGTGCAAAAGTGCGTGCCGCGCCCGTTAAACGTTACACATATACAAACACATACGTGTATCGCTCACACACACACTCACACACATACATACATACAAAAGAGAAAAGTTGTATGGCCAGCAACAAATACAAATTGTTAGCCAAATAGTTTTTTTTATAAATATACATGTATATTTTTAATTGTTAAAAGTCAATTTTTGTCAATTAAATTTTCTAGCAATGCTCATATAATTGAAATTGTTTTTAATAATAAACAACAATAACATCAGCAGAAGCGATTAATAAGCAGCATAAAAAATATTTACAAAAAAGAAGAAGAAAAAAACAAAAAAGTGCTTCTGTGTGCGTATATGTGTGCGAGTGTGTGTTGGTGTGCATAGCCTGCATAGCAGTGTGTGCGCGTGTGTGTGTTTTGTGTTTGTGTGTGAAGTAGCAGCCGCAACAGCAGCAGCAGCCGCCGCCGCAGAATAACAAAAAAATAGCAAATCAAAATGGCGCACCAGCAACAACAACTGGCACAATCGGTGAATTGTTCATTGGATGATATCGATTTGACGGCACTAAAGGTAAGTTGTCAGCCCCCATCAGCACCACCACCACCGCAAGCGAGCTCCAACATGCACAACAACAAAATCCCCAAAAAAACAGTGGAAAAAACACTTAAAGTTGCTGCAAGGTGTGGCCATGTGTGCATGAATTTATATTATTTCTTCAATTCAATTTCCGCATTTGCAGCTTATCATCAGCACTTAAATAATTTACTGCCACACCCCACGCCGTCTTACTCCCACTCCCAACAAATTCACTTTCAATCAAACAGGCTCTCAATTAGTAACATTACAAAAAACATAATCCAATAAGAATTTTGCACTCTCCCAACTGCATGTGCTTGCAGCAACTGTTGTTGAAACTTGTAGGCTATGGCAACGCCCACTCTACACACAACTTACTAATGTAAATAATAAATACATAATAACATTGCAATAACTACATATTGACATTTGCTGGCTATTTGCAATAATCTCTCTTTGCGTGTGTGAGTGAGTGTGGGCACCCCCATTTCAGCCTTATATTCACCACCACCGGCAGCAGTGACCGGCCGGTGTCAGCGTCTTTGCCAAGTCTTGTTTATGCTTCGTTGTTGTTGCTTGTCTTTTATATTTTTCATTTCTCAATGAACATGCCCCACACGCACAAGCCGCACGCGTTGCTTGTGCCATTTGCCTTTGGCCGTTGCCGTTGCCTTTCTCTTTCAGGAAACATTCACCACAGCTTTAACTCACCACTGCCGCCCCACGTTGGGCGGCATACAATGCGTCGACGTCGGCGTCGCAGCAAGCAGGCTGCCAGCAGGCGCGCAAGCAGCACCCACAGAAAGTAAAGTTTTGCGACTGTTGAGAAACTGCGCTGCCTGTCTCCGCTTCTGTATGCATGTATGTGTGTGTAAGTGAGTGTACGTTTGTTGACTCTGTCTTGCAGCGGGTGGGTGGGCAGTGTGGTGGGGTTTGCATGGAGGATAAGGTGGATTGCGACGGCAACGGGTGTCGCTCTCTCATGACTGTATGTGTGCGTGTATTGGTATGTGCATGTGCTGCTCTTCATAGTCGAAGAAGACGAGACAAAAACGAGACAAGAATGAAAATTGTTTAGTTTACTTTATTAAAAGAAGCAGCAGCAGCAGTAGCATGTGTGTGCGTTCGTATGTGTGTGTACAGACGACATGAAGATGATGATGAAGCACTGAAGAGGCAAAAAAAAATGGCAGGCGTGTGATGGCCCCATCAGTTGTTGTTGCTGTTACTGCTGCTGCTGCTGTTGTTGCTGTTGGCCTTCTCGCAGAAGGCGCGTGGGCGCCGACGTCTGCGTTGGCTTTTTAAAGGTCATTAAACAATGAAATACGTGCCCCGAAATAGTATACAGCTTGTTGTCTATATTACTCTTGTTGTTGCTGTTGTTGTCGCAGCAGCCAGGCGCTGCTTGACAAAAGGTCACAGTCCTTAAAGCTGCGACGGGGCGAATGGCATTTGGCTGTTGTTGCCACTACCCATGCCACTGTCACTGCCACTGCTGCTGCTGCTTCCTCTTCTAATGGCTCCCATTCCCTGTGCAACTGTAAAACTGATAAGATACTCCGACAACAACACAAATGCATTTATCAGCGTCGTTTCATTAATTATTTGTGTGGATATGTCTATGCACAGTGGTTGCTCGATAACTATAATTACAAAATTTGGAACTAATTAACAATTTATTTGAAAAAAAAAATTATTAATAAAAAATATATAAATTCCGTGGAGATTATAAAGCTCGCAAAAGATTGCTCATTAGTTAGAACTAGCCGTTCCAATTAGCGAGTGACCACTGTAAAAGTACATTGCTTATATACTAGTATGTGTGTTCATGTGTGTGCATTCTTTCCCTTTCTCTTTTCTACAAATGTAGTTTGGAGTTTTTTCTGCTTGCTTCTGTTTTTATTTTCTTTTCGTTTTTTTTTGTTTCGCAGTTTGATAAGCGCTGCAGTCGCTGCTGACGTCGCGCTCTTTTGCTGATTGCCTTCATTTGTGCATGGCCATGTGTCGGGTGCTTCTTGCACGCACACGCACACGATGTCTTTGTCTTTGTTTTTCTCTTATGCGTATCTGTGTGTGTGTGTGTATTTACTTTAATCAACGTTTATTGCATTTGGCTTTGTTGCGATAAAAACGTGTTCGCCCACATTTGGTATTTGTTGTTTTTGGAGTGCTGCAATTTGTGCAGTTGCTTTTGATTGTTGTTGTTGCTGTTGTAAGCAACAACAACAAATCACACATGTGTTTGGGTTTTGTACGTTTGTGGGTTAAATCAACATTGCTTGGGTAAATACACTGGGCAAAACCGAAGCATTCAATATTTCGGCACAGATGCAAATGTGCGTACGAACGTTTGAATAGGATGAGTGTACTTAAATACTTATACATTTTAAACAAAGTGTATGAATTTTTAAGTATGTAAACACTTTATTTTAAGCGGATACATAAAAAGACTGGTATCCTAATGAAATACATCACCTTGAAGTAAGAAGTTGTAAAAAGGTACATAAAAAAATCTCAGCTTACAAGATACATTTTTATGAAATACATAACAAAAAATTCATTTTCAAGCTAAATGTTAGACACATTATTCTTTGTAAACGTGAGTTTTTTACACAGTCTTTAGCTGTTCATTAGTTTCCGTCTTACACACAGCGTGTTAACTGGTTTCTTTTCCCATTCCGTCAGCTTAATTTGCTGTTGGTCTTAGACACATTTTTTTATTTAGCTCCGAGCGCTTGGTAATATGTTTTGCATTCCAAATCGAATTGGTCACAGCCCACACACATACACACACACGCATACATTGCCCATGCATATCCATTTACATATGTGTTTTATCTTCTGCAACTGCCTTGCCCACTGCTCTTCCCCTCTCCCTCTCGCTGTCTCTGTCTCTCATGCATATGCAAAAAGCTGCTTGGGCATGGGCGTTCAACATGCAGTCAGTCCTGTTGGCGAGTCTCCTTGTTACACACAGACAGTCACATTTATCTGTATATACATATCATTGCAACGCTAACTGGGCCAAGCCTCGTATACGGCCAAAAAGAAATCCAGTTTTGCCTGCCAAGCAGCAGTAGCAGCAACAACAGCATCAGCAAGTTTTAGACGAGTCGCCAGCGAGTTGTTTAGTTTTAGTTTTAGTTGCACTCGTGCCCGTTTTTAACAAATACAACGAACCAGAGACAAAGGCACAAAAGCAAAAGAACTATTTAAGGAATGTCGAAGATGATATACCCTAGCAGATGCGCAATATAGCTCTCCCAGCTATTGCAAAGCGAAAACTAAATTAAACTAAAAATACTTTTTCATATTACTACTGCTAATAAAAAAAGTAATTCAAGTAAGATTTAAAATATATAATATACATATATGCATATAGTATATACTTGATAAGCTCTCACATTTCGTAACAAAATGCAAATACCCTCTGCTAGCTTACAACAAAAAAAAAACAAAAAAAAACCTCGAAAGATAGAGCACGCAATAGAGATTCCACTGGTGTGGGAGAAGAGCAGCGCATATTGGTCAGCAGGCAAGCGCAACTGATAACTGTAACCGCAGCGCGCTCTGTTGTCAGAACTATTTACTAATGCCTTACACACAAAATTCAAAACACAGACAGCTCTCTCTCTCCCTCTCCATTTCAGCAACAACTGCTGCATTTCGTTCGTTAGGTTTTTGCCTTAGCATGTCAACGCTAATGAGTCATAAAGCGGTTTGCAAAGCATGATATGCGGCGAAAAGAGAGAGAGAGAGAGAGAGAGAAAGAGTGTGAGGAGTGGGTACTTTGGGGGGCAGCAACACTTGGCTCATGTTTTGTTTTTGTGCATTTTTAATTGATTTTACAACGTGAAGTAATCAGCCATAAATAGCAGTAATTGCTGACTGGCTTCCAGTCTGACGCCTGTCCGCTCTCTTTCTCTCTCTCTGGCATTTCCCCTTCCGTATGTGTTTGACACACTAAAAACCGACAACAACAACAACACCAGGAATAAGAACAATGATAGCTATTGGAGAAAAAGGAGGGGGCGTTGACGTTGGCTCATTTGATGGCAGCCATAAATCTACTTAAGGCAGCTTTCAATAGTTCCTTTTCTCCATTTTCTTCTTCTTCTCTTTGTGCTTTGTTTTTTACTTTTTTTATTTTGGCTTCGACTTACGCTTTGTCTTTTGCCTTTTATAATTCCTGTCGTTGAGCAGTTGCCTGCAAATTGCTGCTACCGTTAGCCCAAAGAGCAGCTCAGCACACCAACTTTTGTGTGAAGGGATTGCGCAGTAGGTAAAATGAGGTGAGTTGTGGGGATGTTTATTGAAATGTGCAGCTGAAGCTTATAACGAGCGTCACTAAAGAGCATACCGCAACAATGGGCTGAAGTTCATGCAAAGCGAAAAGGCTTAAAGAATGCATTTACTATCAACGCAACTAATCAAATAAGAGATGATAAGTCGAGAAAGGTAACCTATCGAATGAACTTTTATATAAAGATCGATAGGTTAAGTCACTAAGGAATTTCATTTGACAATCGGAAAAAAAAATTAAAGACAAAAGCATTTCTATTAATAAAAATCGATTAAACTGCTGATGTGTATGTTTTATTAAATGTAGGGCTTCCCAAAACTTCTGTTAAGAATCTTAAAAACTTCCTATGTAACATTCCCGAAATCAAATAAAATTCTATGAAAATTAAGTTAAAACTTGTATTTGTCAGATAATGAAAATTACATAAACAATTAATCATCAATAATCTTTGTCTGATATTCCAATTGGAAATCTATGTTTAACAATCTAATTAGAAATTTGTTATATAAATCTTCAATGCTATTATGTTTATGTCATGTTACCTCATGTTTTGCATGTCTCGATTAACGAAATTTTCTGCTTCTCTGCCCTTTGACCGTCTCTCTTAAGCTGTCATAAAACGAATTTAGAGCACTGACGACGACTGCCCCTGTCAAAAAGAAAACAAGTTACCTGTTGAAATTGTTGTTATTTTAATTGGCGTTTACCTTAGCTGTCGGTAGTAGGCTCTCACGCACCCTTCCTCTGGCCTACGCCCCTTTCGGCAAGCAGGTCGTGACACGCTGCTTAGTCTCGTCGGCGACTCGTGTCTGGCCCGTGAGCTGTCGCTGCTGCGTGTCAATGAACTCCCATGCGATTTGTTGTTGTATGGCTTGACATGCACATGAACCAGGCGCATAGCCAGAGTTCAGCGGGAGGGGGTAGGGTATTTGTCTTTGTATTTGTATTTGTATTTGTATTAAATTCCGCTTTATTTTTAACGCTGCGCCACATTCCGTATTTGTATTATTATGCCTTAATAATTTGTTTACACAAACAAACAAAAACCAAAACCAAAGTGAAAAAACCTCATCGTGTTGTTGTTGTTTGTTAAGTGCCCCGCCCTGTTCTTAGCTCATCTCAACGCTTGGCTGGCAGCCTTTATTTGCTTTTTGCATCAGGATTATATGTACGTATATATATCTTCCTTTTTGGGCGTTTCCCCTTCTTCGTTATTGTTTCAATTATTGTTTGTTTTTATTGCATTTGTTTCTTTGACTTTTTTCTCTTTTCTGCTGCTTCTTACTTCTACTAACGCCTTTTTTGTCTCTTCTTTGTTGCAGGATCCGGCTGGCATCTTTGAGCTCATCGAGGTCGTTGGCAATGGCACCTACGGCCAGGTCTACAAGGTAAGTGCCCAAATCGATATGCTATAAAGGGCGGTTCAAAGGTCAGGCACTTGAACTCGATTGTTTATCACAGCCAAAAGCAATGTTATTTTAAGCGTGTTTTATAAAAACAATTTAAAATACCTTGACGCATGTCTTTAAACCAAAAGTCTCAACAAGGCAATAAAAAAAACGCGCTTTCAGTAATTTTTCCACTAATTTGCGTCTATAAACATTATAAAAATATATATAAAGAAATATTTCAGTAACTATAAAAAGTAAGGCAGCATTTTTAAAATGTTTTATGCAAAAAAAGTATCTTCAAATGGTATTTAAAACAATCTTTCACTCATATAGTTATAATGTCAATGTATTAAATATAGCAATATGAAATTTTATATATTTAATTTAAATTATAGTTTCTCTGGGAAATCGAATGATTTTTACCCGTTTTCCACATATTTCTTGAATTTCAAACCATAAATGATATTAAACTATTTGAAATCTCCTTCAAGACAGGAACTAGTTTTATCTCTCTCCCACTTCTATAAATAACCTTCTTACACCCATTTGAATTTCAGTCCAAAAATCAATTAAAACCACTTACAAACAAATTTGTTGATAACCATAGAAAATGGTTCAGCTTTTGAGCAATTTTTCTTTTGTTTTCTTTAATTGTAGCATTTGCTATGAAAAGTGATTTGCTGTTGTTGCTTTTTCTATTCATCAGATCTGAGATATTGAAAACAATTTGCTTGCCCAATTTGAATGTTGAGTTGTTGGCCGCTTTCTATTGAAGTCCGGGCGAGTCGATTTGGTTACGGCGCAATGATCTCACAATTTAAGTTTAGTTTAGTTCACGTTTTCCCCCTCCTTTCTTCTTCTTCTCGTGTACTGTTTGTTGTTGTTGTCTTGTAATTAGCAATCATTAGACTTGATGCTTGAATGCGTCGCAGTTGCTGCTACTGGCAGCCAAGATGAGTTGCATAAATACGTATATATATATATATATATATATATTGTATCTGTAGCTGTTCAGCTGTATCTGTATTTCGTTCTGTGTGCTGTGCCTTAATTAGTTGCGAACCGCTAGGCGGCTGGGCCACCAAAACTTCACTCGCAGCTCTTCTCACATATTAACACATTTTCCTCTCTCGCTCGCCTTTAGAATTCATGCCGCAGGGCAAACAGCAGCAACAACAACCAGAGGAACAGCAACAACCATAATCATCATCATCATCATCATAATAATCACATCAAAGATTTAAACCAAATGCTTGCTTTAAAAATAAGAAACGAGAAAGATAGAAAGAGAGTGAGAGAGAGAGAGAGAGAAGAATGCGAGATAAACAATGCCACGACTTTGTATTTAAATTACAAGTTTTCAAAATTATAACTGCAAGATACAAACACAATGCAGCGGCAGCTACAAAAATAGATACTCTAGGGATTACCGTTAGCATTTGCTGTTGTTGTTGTTGCGCTTCACTCTGTTCTCGTTTCTTTTTTCTGTTATGGCATGCGCTGCGCTTGGGAGGCCAACGGCAAGTTCTTTTACACGTCTCTACAAAACTCTACACTACAACTCTACACTTTACACTTTCCTTCTCTCCACCTCCCACTCCATTCCATTTGTTTGACTGCAGTGCACCTTGTAGGGGGTTATGGCAGCTTTCGATAGTTTTGTGGGTAATGATTTCAAACATTGTTGTTAGAATCAATTTTTGAAAAAATTGATATATTCTAGCTGGAAGCTTGTTACATAAATCCGAAATATGCTATCTAATCTGCATAGACACACGTAAAAAATATATAGCTATTTTAGCTATTACTTATTGTCGCTGATTTCATATTATGTCAATATCTCGCCATCTATTGCCCATTCGGAAAGGTGTTATGGCGTAATGTACTCGCAGCTCTAATCTTTTCGATTGCCCATTTCACAATTGACTTCAATAAAGTGTCAATAAAATGTCTAAAATTACAATTTCGCATGCGTCACTCGCCGTTCACTTCCAAAAACTTTTTCGGCTAAGAAATGCGGCCAGTTTGCAAAAAAAAAGATTTTTTTCTTTAAGTTAAGAGCCCACGTCTACACGCCTCCTTAGCGGCGACCTCATTTGTGGTGCTACCACGCTAAGCTGCAAGTGGCACGTGGTAACAACAACAATGCGATTACAATACACATACATAAATACGAAATATGTATATATATAGTGTATATATATATATATATATATATATATATATATATATATATATAGAGTACTCAGAATATACATATATATATATAAACATAGATTACACAGAATAAGTATCTTTTTGCCCACGGTGCGACAACTTGTTTCAGAGTTAAGTAGTTCATTATACTTACTGCCCAACACTGACTGGGGCTGCGTATGCCCATATATATATGTATGTGTGTGTGTGTAAAATTAGCATGAGTAATACGCCGAGATGCTTTTTAAGTCTGTTTCTTCCGTGCATGTGACTTGTCGCCAGCGCTAGAACGCACTACAAGAGTAACGGCGCATGTTGTTGTTTTTTTGTTGCTGTCTCTGTTGTCCACTTGTTGGCTACGGTTCGTTCATTTTGCGTGCGCTATGCGTATGTGTGTGAATGTGAACATGTGTGTGTCATTTCTTAAGCATTTACTGGATTTTTGGTTTTATTGACAGACAGTTAACCGGTTTTGCAACTCTCTCACTCTCGTTCACTCTTTCATTCTCTTGAGCTGGTACAAACGCAATCGCATTTTAGTCGCAGCTTATCAGAAATTAGTCGCGTCACTTTGACGCTTATTCATAACTTGCTTAAAAGCGTCGGGGAATTTCTGTCTAAAACAGCTTTTAATTTAATTCAGTTTTCTGTATACTTTCTGTTGAAATTGTGACGTCACTACCACTGACATTTCTACGAATTCATTCGTTTCGCTTCGTTTAATACGACTTTGATTTATGCAGCGAACTGGAATACGTCCCCCTCCCTCCGATCCCTCATCCCACTCTCTGTCTTTATGTCTCTTTATTAGCAGTTTTTTTCATGCGATTTATCAACTATTTTCTCGTATGTTCTCTGCTTTGCACTTCCGGCTTATTGATAAATACCCATGTTTTGTTGTTTATTTCTTCTTTTTCCATTTCTACTGCGCTTTTTTAATTGTGTCTTATCGATGAACGCCTCGTGAGTCACAAAGAATTCTCATCTCTTGATTTCTTAATTTTGATGGATTTCTAAAATTGTGTGTATGTGTGTATGTGTAGATGTGCATATTAATGCGTAACAAATAGCGTTAACGGTAAAGGCAAGCAGTGGGGTGTGGGCAGCTCCTCTGATTGGATGTTCAAAATAACAAAATAATACGAGTGAATACATTAAAGGCGAGGTTAGAAAAGTACGGCACACAACTATACGGAGCTGAGTGGCTGTAGAAAAGAGAGGGATGTATAAAATAGCTCTGTATTGAGAACTTTGAGATGTTCCAGATGCTTGCAGTTCATCACTTAGTTTATTTGTTTTAATTAAGTATTTGATTACTGCTTCGAAACAGTTATGAAATTTACGAACATATTTTTTGCAAACAGCTATAATTTCATTTTGCTTGGCAAACCGCAAAATTTTCACACGGCGCATTTGAAAGTAATAAATTTTGCTGCTTAATTTATGCCAAAAAAGACGACTTAAATAAGCGCCCACACAACAATAACAATAACAAAAACTGCATAACTTGGCAAACTTCAACAATAATAACATTGTAAAAATCAACGCGCCGCTTCCCAAGGTCGTTTCCCCCACTCTCTTTACCCTTCCTGCTTTACGCTTAACGCGGCGAATTGACTTTCCCAACGTAGCGTCGTTTGCTGCTTGCGCTAGCAAAAATTTTGCTGCTATGTTTTTTTTTTTTTTGCGAAAGCGTAAATATACAGCACTCACACATGCACACATACTCGTAAACCTAATTCGCATTTATTGTTGTGGCTTTTGCTATTTTCGGCTGTTCGGAGTTTCGGGCGCAGGTTGCCTTGTCAATGAAAAAAGTGTCAGGGCTAGAGATTTAATTAAGCGAACAGCCACAAAACAAACTTAACAAACACAAAAACCGCATACACACATATGCACACAAGCAGAGCATTTGTGTGTTTAACAACACTAAAGTTAGTGAACCTCTAAAAATACAATGCGAAATGAACGCCGCGAACGCATAGAGTGGGAGAGCGGCAAACGCACCAAAGAGAGTGCAAACACGAGAGCAGCGCCGGTGAGGCGTTAAAGTTGCGGTAAATTATTTGCAATCTTTTGCTGCTATGTGCGAAAGAGAAAGGAGCGCAGGGCACAAAGGCAAATACAACAGCTATGGCTATGACTGCAACTACAACTAAAGCGTCAACGCCAACGACACTTCTGTTATCTTTGCTTCCTCTTTGTATGCCTCTCTCGCTCTAAGTGTTTTATGCTCATGTGTCATTGACACTTTGTTAATGTTTTTTTATCTTGTCTACAACAAATAAAAAAGAAAAAATTTGCGTAATAATTAGTTTTAAGCTGTGTACGCTTTGTTTAGCACTTTTTATGACATCGGCAGGGGGCTGCTGGCTGTAGCATTAAAAACTAAATAATTCGTCTGCCTAATTGCAACTTTAATTTTGCTTCATTTCAATTTAACATTTTATGAGCTTGAGTCTTATTTTATTTCTGTTGTTAGTATTTTTGTTGTGTTCTTTTTTAGTGTCTTTTTTGCTTCCTGCTTGATTTGTTTATTGCTTTTAATGTGTTTCGCATGTTTTCTTTGAGTGGCGTTTTATTGGCTGCGCCTGCAATTTGATTGTTCGTGTGTGTGCGTGCGTTTATGTGAGTGCGCTCGTCTCTGTCTCTGCTGCTGCTCCCCACCTCCTACCTCTACCATTGCGTTGGTCTGCGGCCTGCGGCTGCGGCTGCGGCTGCGCCTGCGTCGCTCAAATTGCAGCCCAAAAATGAAGTCGTAAATAAAAGCTTTGCACACGCTCATTGTACTCGTTGCTGTT